AGCCATGCACGGCAGGCCTGTTCTGTTCTGTTGGCGTCCCTGTGGCAACCCAGCTGAAGCCCCTTCCGTTTCCTCTTCTTTCTCACTGAGCACTTCTGCCTGTGCATTAGCGCTGCACCGTTGGCTTTAATTTCTGTCATCAGCGAAGTGAGCTCACACCTGCCTCATGGGTCAATGACACCCCACACACTTTGGCCTGTTTGCATCTTTGTTCCTTTCAAAACATTTTCAGATTCCCCTTTTTAGACACAGGTTATTTTGAAGTGTACTGTTTTATAAAAAAATACATTTGGAGATTTTCTAGATATTTTCTTTTGTTATTCTAGTTTAATTTAGTTGTGGCATAATGAGATACATGATTTCATTTCTTTCAGTTTTTGTTAAAGTTTGTCTTATGGCCAGAAGATTTATCTTGTTGACTGCTTCATATGTATTTTAAAAGAATGTATTCTCTACATATGAGAGGATTCAGCTAGGTCGAGTTCAGCGTGTTCCCCCAGGTAAACTAGGTCTTCCAGAGCCTGATTTTCCAGCTGCTTGTTCTATTGATGACAGAGAATTGTGGATTCATTTCTCCTTTCAGTTTCATTGATTTTTGCTTTATATATTTTGAAGCTCTGTTGGTAATTACATATGAGTGTCGTCTTAAGAAACTGACCCTCGTGACGTTAATACTTTCCCCCCAGCAGTATATATTATTTTGTGATTTCCACTCTTTTCTTTGCTGGTGCTGGGGATCAAACCCAGAGCTTCACGGAGGCCGACAAGTGCTCTAGCACTGAGCTAAGCCCTGAACCTCGTAAGTCTGATAGTGATCTAACCACTTCAGCTGCCTTCCAATTAGTGTTTTCACACATCCTCGTCCATCCTTTGAGTTTTTTCTCCTTGTACAGAGGTGAGTCTATTGAGATGGCATATATTCAGGTCTTGCTTTTTTTACACATTGTGACAATCTCTCCCTCTCTCTTGTAATTGCTGAGTTTAAACTTTCTAGTTAATGTTATTCACCTGCTTCAGTGAAACTCAACATCTCACTCACTGGTTTCTTCTGAGTTTGCTTTTAAAAGACCTTTAAATGCAGCGCTTGTGCTAAAACCACACTAGCAATGTTGGCACGTTAAAATGCCAGTGAGAACCCAGGATTTGGGGCCATTCTCCTCTGGCTGGTTACTACTCAGAAGTTTTGCATGCTTTGGCCAAGGGCTCTGGAAGTCTTCTCAAAGGCTGAGGGCGGGCAGCAAGGGGTCTGCAGGCTCTGCCACTCCTCAGCACAGATCTAGACAGGTTTCCTAATCTCTCTGAGACCTGGTTAAATAGGTAAAATAATATGTGCTGCCAGCATTCAGATGCGCTGTCTCCAAAGTCTTGGGTAGAGTTGACAAGAAGTCTCTTCGTTTGGGGCAAGTGCTCCAGAGAAACGAGGTTTCTGGATGTTTTCATGATGCAAGGAGAGTTAACAGAGTAAGCGTGGGAATGTGGCTGTAACGGAGAGAAGAATTAGAATAATGCATGAATCAGGGGCCACTTCAGTGACTACAAACGAGGTTGGGCATGGTGCTGCTTGCCTGTAATCTCGGCACTCAGGAAGCCGCGTGTTCAAGGCCAGCCTGAACTACACAGTGCGACCCTGTTTTATTAAAATTAAAATATGTAAATGAGGACCCTTGGGTCTTCCACCAATGCAGCAGGTTGGTGAGAAGAGGGCTGACTCAGTGGCAGGAAGACCAGTGGAGAAGGTGCTGTCTAGGATCACTTTCTTTTTCTTATTTTTGGTACTGGGGATCAAACTCCGGTCCTTGTGCTTGCAAGGCAGGTGGCAGCACCACTGAGCTACACCCCGGCCCTAGGATCACTTTCGATTTCAGACTTGGGGCTCTGGGCAGATGACAGCTCCTCTCACTAGGCACGGAGTACAGGGGACACGTTGGAGCATCAGTTACTTCTGGTGTCCCTGTGATGTGCCAGGAGGTCACCGGCTGGCTGTGCCTGGTGCTCGGGATGGTCTGTGCAGGGAATGGGAAGTCACCGGTACCTGGGCCAGATGTGGGTGAGGGGCACACCGACCACCGGGCTGAGGACGGAGCCAGTGTGACTGCTGATCACGACTGTCAACTTGACTGGCTGCATCTCCCTTGCAGATTAGCAAGGCACCCTTCTGGGTACATCTGGGTGGGCCACAGGGCGTGACCCCCAGGGACTTCATCTGGTTTCTTGCCTTTTCCAACTCTCTCTGCTTCCTTGCCACCATGAACTAAGCATCTTTGCTCCACTACGCCCTTCCACCATGACACTTTTGCCTGGAGCCGAATCCCCCGAAACCGGGAACCAGATAAACTCTTTTCCTTTAGACTGGGGGTGTCAAGTATTCTTCCAGAAACAAGAAAGCTAATATGGCTGGGACGAGTGAGGGTGCTTTCAGCTGCTAAGAGGAAAATCCCAATGGAAAGTAGTATAAATGGTCCCCACCTCACCTGCATAGACCACCAAAGGCTCAGGGTGGATGGGCGGCTCTAGAGGCGCTAAAGCAGAAGGGCCCGGGTCCGTCCTTTTCCTCATCTGCCTTTCCCACACCTTCGGATGGACTCTTCCTGCAGAATCCCCGGCAGTCCGACACGGCTGAGGCAGTGGTGGTGGAAGCTCTCAGCAGTCCGTGGCACTGACCAAGCCCAGTGACACAGTGCCTGTCTCTCCAGCTGCCAGCAGGTTTGAGCTCCTGCTAATCACAACATGCAGTCAGCGCTCCCGGGCGGCACAGGCCTGGCCAGTCACCCCGGGGCAGCAGGAAGGCACGGCCTCCCCAGAGCACTTGACCACTCGCAATCTCAGCGAACTGAGGGCAGCCAAGGGAATTACTTCAACGGAAACCGGCAAACCTTGCTCTCCCGGGAGCATGAAGACGAGCAGAGAGGAAGGGAGCCTTTCTGGAATATCCTGCAGTACTCACGCAGGGGGCATGGAGGCCAAGGGAGGGATCTGGAGACAGCATGCTTACTACTGTTATCATGGTCGTTACAAAAGATCAGCTGAGGCGCAGCTCAGTGGGAGAGCGTGTGCCTGGCCTCGATCCCCACCAAGGCCAACACGGCTGGGGAAACGGGGATGAGGCCTGGAGCCTAGCGCCTGGCCCCGTTCCCTCGTCAGTTTGCGGCTTCATCCCGGGGCTGCAGAACACGTGCACGTCACTAAGACTCCGGTGCGAGATTCACTGCCACCCGCCTCGGGGTCCTCCTGTTCTCTCCACACCCATCCCATCGCCTTGCCACCTACGCAGCTCTGGAGTCCTCCGCCCGGTCTATGAGGTGTGCAACGAACTGCGGTCAGGGGTGGCTACCGCGTGCCGGCCAGAAAGGCGGGCTGTGTGGGTGTCACTTCCTCTTCGGCCCAACACCACCCTGGCTCTCGGGCACAGGACGCTGCTGCCCCTGAGCCCCCACAGCGAGGCCAGCTCGTTTTGTTACTGTCAATGAACACACATCCCTCGTGTAAAGCAATGAAGGAAACCGCCCTCAGTCAAGTTGCTGCATTCCTGGGCCCCGAGGGGGGACACAGGCGGACAGGGCGCAAGGGTGGAGAGAGCTCTGCTGCTCCCAGCTACACAAGAGGTCCTGGCTGTCTTCCACTGGGTTCACCGCCCACACTGCCCACAGACACCTCTGTGGCCACAGCAGCTGCAGGTGTGGTGGGTCTCGTCATGTGGTCCCAGCCGGTCCTGAGCTACAACTCAGAGTGATCCTCCTGCCTCAGCCTCCTGAGTGCTGGGGTTACAGATGTGCGCCACCATTTCTGGTAAGGAAGGTAAATGCTAAACTGGGGTTCACTACAGCAACCTGCGACTAAGGCAAGGAGCTGCCACCACAGCCAGGACTTGAGCCCAAAGGACCTCGCGAGCCTGGGGCACAGGCACTCTCTCCGGCAGCAGAGGCCAGATGCCCGTCAGATTGGGCCTGGCCTCAAGGGAGTCCCCCTGCTCCCTGGACTCGCGGATCAGCCCAGCCAAGCACCAGAGTGGGACGCAGAGGGGCAGGCCTGAGAGGAGATCGCAGCAGTGAGGCAGCCAGCAGGCCTCCACTCAGTTCACTGGCATCAGGCTTAGCCCTCTGCCCTCGGCTTCCATTACAGGCTGAGACCCCGGCCCGCACTTCCCTGGACTGGAGAGTGAGCTCGGGGCCTCTTTCTGGGCTGTCCCAGATGCTTTTCATGTTTTAAAACAGGGTCTTGCCAAGTTGTGCAGGACGGCCTGAACGCGAGACCCTCCTGCCTCAGCCCAGGTGGGCACCAGCAGGCCTCATTACACACGGTCTTGAAGCACACGACGCAGCAGCACTCTGTGCAGGAGCAGCAGCACTCCCCCACCACCCACGGCCAGGGCGTTTCCCAGCTGACACCCTGCACCCAAGAACACCGACTTCCAGCCCTTCTTCCTCCCAGCCCCGGTGACCTGTACTGGTCTGTCCCTACGAATCAATCCACTGTCCCTCACGGAGTGGCATCATGTCTTTCCCTCGTGATGGGCTTACTTCACTCAGCACAATGACCTCCAGCTCATTCATGTGCTCTCCCCTTCCCTTTTCTAGGCTGAATAGTATTCCACGAGCGGCCCCAAACCACGTTGTGTTTATCTATTAATTTGCTGGTGAAGACAAGGTGTTCCCTGTGGGCTGTTGCCAATCAGTCTGCTGCAAACTCTGTCTCTTACACCCAGAGGCCCCTGCTGAACCCGTCAGGGCCGCCTGACTGTTCCTGGCATGGAGGACGCTGGGCTTTTCTCCTTAACAGTGGAAAGATGGAGGTGTGCAGCCGGGGACACTGCCACACACACAACGTACGACTCCATGAGGAAATGTAGTGACTCCAAAGCGGTTGTTCATAAATACAAAATTTTATTTGCACTTCATTAGTGTAGAAAGACCACAATGCTTCTCACACCACGACACGCGAGACACGCCGGGCTAGTCCGCAAGGACCACTTACCTCGGCTCAACAGCACGGTGCGGTTTAATAAAAGATACACCAGAAAGAGTCCACAATTCATTATCAGACCAGAAAATAAAATAAAATAACAAACCGTCCAGGCCTCGATCCCCTCACAGAGCGCTCAGGGGAGACACACGTGCGTTCTTGGGCACATTGCGACGCATCTCCTTAGCATGCCTTTCGGCAGATCTGTCAGGACAGCAGCTGTCTTAAAATCTTTCCTACCATTTCAAAAACACTTCTTTCTTTACCGAATTTCTAGGGTCCCTCAAAGCACGGGACCCCTCCGTGCGTGCACCAGAAATGGGTGATCGCAGGCTCCCACCAACGAGTCCAATCCAGCCCCTCCTTACCTCGCAGCGACAAATGCCCGAGCCAGCCTGCTCCAGAGCTCAGATGCTACAGTGGAACGTCTCGTCAAGAAAGAGAAAGCACTTAACATAGCTCTGTTCTCAAAAAGTCTTTAGTTTTATAAATTTCCTTTAAAACAGTAAGCGAAGCACCACGCTCTGTCTTCTTAGCAGAATCTTCTGTCCTCGTGGCGGCAGTGACCAGGAGCCGCATCACGAGGAACCTCACACCCTTCCGCTGGGCCACTCTTCAGGGGCGGGCGCTCTCAGACTTACCCAGGATTGCATATCTGCATATGTACAAGTTAGTGTGTAGCTTGGACTTGGGTTACAAAGTGCAAAATGAAACCGTCAACACGATTGTAGTGCAGGGATGCTGTCCCGCAGTGCAGATCAGCAGCACCGCACGTGTGGCCGCGGCGGGGGCAGCTCGGGTGGGACCTCAGGCTCGGGCTGCAGCGAAAGGATGCTGTTGGACAGCTCGTTCCGCAGCACGTCCAGCGGCATCTGCGGGCGGAGCAGACAGCAATGACCCACGGGGCCAAGGGAGCGCCCAGGGGGCGGAGCCCTTCCCTAGCTCAGCACTGCAAACAAACGACTAAGTAAATAGTAAATAAAAGTGTTAAAAAATGTATGGCTTGAAGTTCTCTGATCTCCATGAGGAGACGGGGAAACACTCAGCCAAAACACAACACGCAGGCAGCTTCGGGGCAACTCCAGCGACAGCACGGATGTCACCAGGCCAATCTTCACACGGATCCTCACAGACCCAGTGTACGACTTTTGTACATTTTACACATTAATACATCTTCCGTATTCTAAGGGGTTACTAACAGAGGAAAGAGCCGGGTGTGGTGACGCACACACTCAGTAGGCTGAGACAGGCAGGACTGACTGCTGCAACTACTGAGAGGCTCTGTCTCAAAAAAATGCACCTGAAAAAGCAAAGAAAAGCAGGAGCCTCTCCTGGCAGTCCCATGAACAACCATTTACAGAGAAGCCTCTAACTGTGCTGAACTGAGAAGCCTATCAGCTGCTTCCTGAACTGTGGGTCCACATGCAGATTCCACCTGGCTCAGAGCGCGAACGTGTGGGAGAAAACCGCGTCTGGACCGGGCACACAGACCTCTCCTTCTAGTCGTTATTTCCTGAAAAGGCAGGGGACCAGCCGTCCACACGGCACTGGCATTGGTTGCACTGGGCCTCAGAAGTCACAATGACGCATTTAGCATTTAGCAGAGGGGTGTGTGGGGTCTATGCAGGACCCGAGCCGTCTCCTCTCAGGGACCCGGCGGCACGGACCTCACTCTCCTCAGGGTCCTGGAACCAAGTCCAGCAGGTACCGAGGGAAAACCGTGAATGATTTTAAGACCTGAAAACTTGGAACAAAAGCCTGCTAGTGCCTGTTACAGCTTCTGTCCAGGGCTCTGAGACACTGGACTGTGAATGTGTGATACTGGGCTGTGGGTGTAAGACACAGGACCATGGGTTTGAGACACTGGACCGTGGGTGTGAGACACAGGACCGTGGGTGTGAGACACTGGACAGTGGGTGTGAGACACTGGGCCGTGGGTGTGAGACACTGGGCCGTGGGTGTGAGACACTGGGCCGTGGGTGTGTGGTACTGGATGGCAGGTGTGTGACCCCGGCTTAGTCTTTGATGGGTGCTGCTCCCACCGAAGCCCAGTGGGAAGAGGTGGTCACCGCAGGCAGGCTGTGGGTGTGGACCAGAAGGGTCTCTCTCCGTCTTCCCCTGCTCTCTCAGCTTCTGGATTCCATGCATGGACAGTCTCTCCCTGCCACGCTGCAACCCTCTCAGACCCTTTACCTTCTTCAGGATGTCATCGACCAGCTTGAGGAAGATCTCGTCCACGTTGAAGTTGTCCTTAGCGCTGGCCTCACAGAATCGCATCCCAGTTATCTGCTGTGCGAACTGTCAAGACAGACACACATACACATACAGACACGGCCCTGAGACGCAGGCCTTTCTTTTCCGAGACTGAACCCTTTGCAAAAGCCAAGGAAGCTGAGAATGTATGAGAGAAAGGGTGAGTCACAAAAGTAGTTTACACCCTAAAAACGGTTTTGTCAGTAGAATCGTGAGCTTGGGTCCTGACACAGTTCATACTGCTGTGCTTTTCCGTCACAGAGGGGGAAGTTAGGAAAGAGCAGGGGCGGGAAGGGCAGCCCCATGGGTGGGTGCCCTGGGGGCGGCAGCGCTCACCTTCTCGCCCTGCTGCCGGCTGACCTCCCGGTCCAGCTCACAGTCCAGCTTGTTTCCCACCAGGAGGAGCTCGGCGTCTTCGGAAGCGTACTGTGGGTCAGCAGAGAAGCCCGCGTCACAGGCCGCCCGGCCCCACCCCACGCTCTGTGACAGACACATGGGGCCACCAGCTCACAGCGTGGCCGAACCCTGGAGTCAGAGCACAGCCCGCAGAGGGTGGCTGTTACCCGAGAACCCCACGGTCCAGGGAAATGGGCAGAGCGCGAAGTGAGGTGCATAAAACAGCCCTTGAAAGCAAAGACAAAACCCTGTGCTTTGGAAGGACGTTTAGTGACCCAGGATGGGCCTGTGAATACTTAGCCAAGGGAGCAGGATGAAAAACTAAACCGGGGCCAAGACTTAACGTGTACTCTTGTTCTTTCCTTGATTTTCCAAATCTCTGTAATGAAGGTGCCATTACATTTTTTTCTAGTACTGGGGATTGAATCCAGGCACTTGCACTGAGCTATATCCCCAGCCCTTTTTAAAAACTTATTTTTGAGACAAGGTCTTGCCAAGTAGCCCAGGCTGGCTTGGACTTGCAGCGGTCGTCCTGCCTCAGCCTCCCAGCGTGCTGGAGCACAGGTGTTCCACCACATCCACTCGAGCTGTCACTGCTTTTATAATCAGGAAAGAAAAGCTATTCTTATGTTTTTCAAAAATACAGGTACAACAGAATTTCTGTCTTGAAAGAGGCTAACACCCCGAGTGATTCATCCTGTGCTTTTCTGAGCAGTGGCCAGGTCCTGGAGGGGCCTAGTGTGCACCCAGCGAGCATTCAGGAATGAAGGCTCCATTCACAGCAGGGTGCTCAGGACCCAGAGACCCCGGCAAGGCTCGGACTCAGGCCCTGCCTACTCAGTCACAGGGGCTCCTGGAGCCCTGGACTCAGAGGCCGCCCCTCCTTTCCTAAGGTGCACCCCAAGGACTCTGAGGCTGGGCCTGTGCTGCACCAGCCACCGCCTTCTCGTGGTGCTCACCAGAGGGTTACAGAGAACCTGGAGGCTGAGGCAGGGGAAGCGCAAGCGTTTGAAGCCAGCCTGGCAACTTGACGACAGCCTATCTCAAACCAGAAAAGACAACTGGGCTAGGGATGCGACTCGGGACGAAGGCCCAGCTCTGGGGTACGGTGGGCGAGAGGGACACCCGAGACCAGGGCTGGTGAGTGGGCCCAGGGGACCAGCAGGCCCGGCCCGTGGAGGGCGCACCTTGTCGATCATCTTCATCCACTTGGGCAGGTCGTCGAAGGTCTCCTTCTTGGTGATGTCGTACACCAGGATGATCCCCTTGGCGCTTCTGTAGTAGGCTGAGGTAATGCTGTTGAATCTCTCCTGACCCGCCGTGTCCCTGGAAACCGCGGCACAGGTCAGTCCCGGGCAGCAGAGAGGCAGGGGACGTGGTCCGGGGTGGGGAGAGCAGTGTACACAGCAGCTCCCTCCGCCGGGAGCCACTTCAGGCCGAGCCTCAAATTCCACCTCCCTGCTGCTGGCTCTGCTCTGCTCCGGGACTGAGGACAGCGGCTCCCTCAGAGCCTCCACCGCCTGGCCCCGGCACCAGCCCCATCCGTTTCCCTGCTTAGTGCTCAATTCACCAGGCCGCTGAGACACCGTCTGCCCTGCGCCAGCCCGCAGAGCCCACGGAGCCCACTGCCCCTGGTCCCACCCCACCTCCCCGGCCCGTGGAGACGCCGAGTCCACACCTCACGCCAGCCCCACACTCAGGGTACAGTGCTGATTCCTAAGAGCTTGGTGCGCACCGCCCTCCCAGCCACTCCACGCGCTGCTGCTCTGCTCTGCCACTCCGGGGGACAGGGGACAGGAAGGAGGTAGTGCCCAGAGCCGATGCCAAGCTAAGAGCCCAGGAAGACGGGCAGAGCCCGGGAACCTGCACCGGCCTCAGCCATGGCACCTCGGGACTGACTCAGCAGGGAGACCGAGGAGGACAGGAAAGGGCCCATTTCGTGACCATCAATAAGCAAGGGTGTAAAAAACGTGGCGACAGCACAGCCTTCCTCCCTTGCACCTCTAGTGATTTACAGTGAACAATTATTCTCTTATACTGGCCACAAACAATCAAGAAAGACCATGTTTGTTCTAGCAAGGCCTGCTGTGAAAACGACCCCGACTCCACTGCCTGGGACACTGGCAGCCTCGACGTGAGCTGCCGCTGTGCCCTCAACTAAACGTGCTGTGATGTGTGACGGTGAGGTAAGACACGCAGTCCAGGCCGAGACTCCTATCCAGCAATATAAAATGTAAAAACAAAGGCGGGCCTGCTGACGCACGCCTCCATTACCAGCTCCTGGGGAGGCTGAGGCAAGAGGATCTCTGCAAGTGAGGCCAGCCTGGGCTACTAGGCTACACATAAGACCTCATTTCAAGAAGTGGGGGGAAAACAAAAAAAACAAAACTGAAACAACCCCACAAAACAACCCTAATGCTATAGAATTTGCAAATTTCTGAGCATCAAGCCACAGGAGGAAAAGTCCATGCCTGACCCCCTGAGGGCTGCTGCACCAATGCTGTCCTATAAAACGACCCTGGGTTCTGTGTAACGTGCACAGGAAGCATCAGTGAGCTTTGTGTCCGGAGTTGGGTCCCGTCCCCAAGATATCTCACTATGAACCCAAGCATCCGGAGAGGAACACCCAACCCGGGCCACAGAGCTACAGGCCAGGCGCACTTTCACCAACCACAGGCGCTCTCTCTGGACGGAGATGAAAGCCCATGCCAGGAATCTGTGGTGAGCAACACAGCCGCCATCGGCCCCTGCTGCTGACCCCTTTAGCAGGTGGCCAGTCCTCCCTCCACCACTGCTGCGTCCCACTGCCCCTGCCCCGACTGCAAGGCCAGACTGAGCAGGTGGAGGGTACCGGTGCTGCAGGGAGGCAGCCGGGCACATGGGTGCACTTCTATAAACTGGGTTCCGACTACCAGAGATTTCCACGTACCCACAGCCAGGCAAGTCTAACATTCGCTACCTCACCTTCCTCATGGGAAAGGACCCCAGGCATGGTGGCCCACGCCTGTATTCCCAGTACTCTGGGAGGCTAAGGCAGGAGGATCACTAAGTTTGAGCCCAGCTTGGGCAACTTAGTGAGCCCATAAAATAAAGTAAAAGAAAGGGCTGGGGATGGGGCTCAGTGTGAAGCCCAGGGGCAGCCGCCAGGTGCAGAGATGGAAGCATCCCAGTCTCTGTGAGGCAGCCTTTCCCTCAAAACAGGAAACAGCAGCTCTCCTGAAGTCCTGGGACAGGCAGTGAGGGGACAAGCCCGCCTCCTTCCTGGCGAGCGAGTGACACGTACTTTCTGCTTCTCAGAAATCCAGACCCAACTGCTAATGCTTCACAACCCAGTCCAAGCTCGAAGTATGAAAACTGAAACACAACAAAATGGAACCAGCAAGTCTCCGGCCTCGGGAGGGGAGGGAGGTGTTACCTCGGGCGCCTCCGGTGGGGCTGCAGCAGCACGGGACAGGGACACAGATGAGCATGGAGACACGGCACTGACACTCAGTGTTAGGTGACGGTGGTGCCACAGATGGGAGCGGTTAGCGCGATGGAAGCAGACACACAGATGTGGACAGACAGGCAGAACGAGGGCACCTGCGAGAGGGTTAGTAAGCTGAGTGTGGCCAGCCTGGCCCCTGCTCCAGAGGCGCTGGCCACCTGCGTGCTTCCACTGCATTCTGAGACAGGTCTTGCTAGATCGCTGTTTCCCAGGCTGGTCTGGAACTCGCCATCCTCCTGCCTCAGCCCCGAGTGCCAGGATGACAGGTGTGCACCACCACACCTGGCTGCAAAGGGCTTCTCTCCAGGCCCACCCGCGAGGGCTGGGAGCCAGCAGCGCAGGGAGCCAGCAGCGCAGGGAGCAGGACAGGACGCCAAGCACACACTGGCCACTGCAGTGACCAGCTCAGCTCATGTAAATGACCTGTAGACATGCAAAGGCTCACGGGGCTCTCGGAAAAGGGACGCAGCACTGCTCACAGATGAGGCCTGTAGGAGCCGCGGTTGCTGCCTCACTTCCACACACACCGAGCCCAGAGCACACGCGTGTCACACACACAAACAGACACGCACGTATGGCATGCAAGGGTAGACTGCCACTTACCAGATCTGCAATCTGATTTTCTTTCCTCTTAGCTCTACAGTTTTGATTTTGAAGTCAACACCTGTAAAGAAAACATAAACATGAAGCAAAACCAGAAAGATGCACTTTGTCATGAGACTCTATTTGTGTATTTTTGAGTCATTACCAGAAAAAGAAGAGAACCAGCATCACGAAATCCCAGGGAGGAGGCAGGAGCACAGGCCGCTGCAGCTCCTGGTCCCTCAGGCTGTGCAGGACAAAGTCAGATTGGGTGGGGGCAGTCAGCGCCTTGGGCCAGGCATCCACCCGTGTCTGCGTCACGGCACAGCTCCCTGTCTCGCTCTGTAGCCCAGCCCAGCCATGAGCTCACTGTGTAGCCCTGGCTGGTCTCACATTCCTGGTGACCTTCCTGCCTCAGACTCCCTCGGTGCTGGGGTTACAGGTGTTCGCCACCACATCCAGCCCCAAATCACATTTAATAAACACTAGGAAATGATGTTATCTTGGGTGATTCTTATAGGGAACACCAGAAAACTTCCTTTGTCTGAATTTGAAAATTAATATACTAAATTTCCCAGCACTCAAAAAAAATTTTGGTAAACATAAAGACAACTTGTTTATCACACAGACCATAGCAAGGGAAAGAATATTAAAATATGTAAGGGGCTGGGGATTTAGCTCAGTGCTTTCACTGCCTGCCTCGAAAGCACAACGACCCGAGTTCAATCCCCGGTACCAAAAAAAAAAGAAAAAAATATTTTTAAAAAAATGTAATCTTAAACTAAGCAAATTGAGATGTGTCATGCACACATACCAACTCTCCATGACAAAAGTGAACACATACCGATTAAAAATTTTTAAAAAGACAGAAAATATTATTTCTACATTACTGAAGTATAACAGAGAAATTAGTAACATAAAATTAAGAATCTTTTTGAAACAACTTACTAAGCGAACCACTCTGGTACCCTTCGGACTCAGCCTACAGAGCTCTGGATGCACGTCTGAAGCTGAGTGCTCTCGTGTGGGGCGATGGACATGTGCGTGTTCACTGTCCCCGTAGTCACTACGGTCCGCGTGCACGCTCTGGGGCTCCCGCGCCAGCCCCGTCACGCCTCCCAGTGTTCCCTCCTTCCCGAGGCCCTGCTCCATCGGCGCTCGTGAGACTGCCCGCAGTGGGGCACCTGGGACCCTGTGGTGCACATGCACAGGCTCACACCCTTCCCCACGCCTGCTCCGTTCTGGGATAGCATCGCAGTCCCCTGGGGTCACACAGGTAACTCCAGCTCAAGTCACGGAATCTGGCTGCCTCTGCCTTGGTGCGGCTCCAGGAGGGGTACAGGTCACAGGCCCCTCCTCTCCGCAGTCCCTGGGATTTCTCCTGCACCTGAATTCCCCTCAGCAACGATGAGGGCAGCGGACACATGTCTCACCCAACGCCCAACGCAGCCACGGCCCAGTATGGTGAGGCCTGGCCACATCCCTGCCACAGCAGCACCAGGCTCAAGGTGCTGCCCACAGCCACGGTGGAACGGGTCAGGAGAGCAGAAACTCGGTGTGGGTGATCAGGCCCCTGGATCTCCTTCGGGATCTTTCCGACTCCACCCTTGGCCACTGGAGAAGGCCTGTGTGTCTGTTCTTTTTTTTGGTTTTTTGAGACAGGGTCTCACGAGGTAGTTGAGACTAACCTGAAACTCAACTATGTAGCCTGGGCTGGTCTCGAACTCACAGTGATCCTCCTGCCTCAGCCTCCCGAGTGCTAGGATTACAGGTGTGCTCCACCATGCCCGGCCTGTGTGTCTCTTCTTAAGGTGGGAATCAAATCACTACTGTGCTCCCTTTAGGTGGGCCAACATCACAACAAGGAAAACAGCACACAGAGGCACCTCTTTCCTTACTGTCACTTTCAAGCAAAAGGCAAAGCTAGCACTGGGCCCAGGACCCTGCAGCGGAGGCTCGGAGCAGGCCCTGAAGCCGGCCTAGCGACACCGCTGGAAGTTGCTGTGCTCTTCCAACTGTCTTCAGAGTGTGAAGTGTTTCCCTCCAAGGCTGAGTTTCCCAGTGCTCCAGCCTTCCTGAAGGACAAGGATCCAAGCCTTTTTGGGAGTCACTGTCATAGCATCAAGGTTTCAGAGGCAGCTCTAACCCTGGAAAGCATTCGGCTCCCAGCAGAGGCGAGGGGCCCTGCAGGGAGAGCCACACCATGTGTCTCCTGTGTCCTGACGACTCTGCAAGACAGAAGTCAGTACTGTCGCACGCCGGGACCATCCCAGGACCAGGGCCAGCAAGCAGGAATCCATGGCCACCGCAGACGGGGACACCCACTCGCTCCAGGTCGGGCAAGCACAGGGCACCCTCCTCTGCCTCGACAGGAGGAGCAGGGAGGTCTGGCCGCCTCTCGGGACAGGGGACAGTCCCCAGGGAAGCATGCGTGCTGGCGACAGGCCTAGTGTGGAGCAGGGACTTGGACCCCAGTGTCGGCCGGACTCCAGGTGCTCTTCTTCCGTTTTTCTTCTTTTTGGTGCTGGAAATCGAACTTGGGACCTTGCGCTTTTAGGCAGGCAATGGCTACACTGAGCCAAATCCCCGGCCCTCCGGGTGGTCTTCTGAGAGCACAGAGTGCAAGGCTCCCTGCAGCGTAAATCATTCGGAGGACAGGGACACTGCAGCAGCCTGTGAGCTGGCTGCCCAGGGCCCGGTGCCCACAGAGCCCGGACAGCCCCCACCCCAGCGCACACCGGTGGGCAGGCGGGACCACACTGCCCAGGCCACTGCTGACCTTCTAAGGGTCACTCCCCGCCATCTGCCACATCTCCTCAAGGGCAAGGAGGGGCTCAGTCTGTGCATTTACACTGCAAACCCGGAGGGGAGTAGAAGGCTGTGCTGGAGGTCACGGGTTTCTTTCTGCGTGAAAAATGAAGAGGGGATGCAGATTGTGGGCAGGGGCTCCTCAGCCAATCAGTAGAGGGGTGCTGTACCCCACACATGGGCTGGAGCGGTGGAGCTCAGGCGAACAGCAAAGCTCTCCTCCTGGGGCCTCCAGCTCCAGCTGCAGGGTCCCCAGCTTCGGATCTCTCCAGGCTAGAGGCGGGGCCGCAAGTAGTTTTGTGGCAGGAGTGGCATCCAGAGAATGAAGGAGCTCCTACTTTGAGTACCCTCAAAGTACTCCCAGCTTACTCGGGGTTTTATAAGAAACCACACCCACTCAGTTAAGGACACTACTTCTGGTTAGCAGTCTGGGCTTTCTGTCCACTTCCAAAGCTGTGTAACAGGGCACAAAGGGGAAACCTCAGCTGTTCCTCCTCCTCCTTTTACTCTGTCCTCCAGGACTCTGCTCCCCTCCTGACTGGGTAGGCAGGCAGCAGCCCAGTGCCTGTGGGACTCCCGCCAGGCCCAGGTCTGCCCGACTGCTCCAGCCTGGACAGGAGGCAGCCACCTTGTGCCTGGCTGTAGGGGTGGGGCCAGGTCTTTCTCCAGATTTTCCTTTGGCCAAATGATGGACCCAACTTCAGCCTCAAACTTTCTCTGAGAGTCCCCGGCTCCCCCCAGGATGCTGCCCGCATGTGAGTTTGCCCCCCTGGCCCACATGCCCTGAGCCGCCAGGTGGCCGCTGCCAGGAGACACCTGCAGTTCTCGCGGTGGGAACGTGGACCGTCCCCCTAATTCTCTTTCCAGAGATACCCAGGTCAGGGCTTGGACGGCTGCACACCAAGAACAGCAAATCAAGCACACAGCTTAGAATCCTGATGTTCATGCTGAGCTTCTACCTCCAGGCTCTGCGTTTCCACATAAAGTGTGGGTGGGCAGGCACCTGTGCCACCTGCTCTGGCCTCCCCTGAGGGCCCGCCTCGGCCTGGGCACCCTCCAGATCTGAGGCTCCTGAAGTGCAACACCCTTTGGGGCCTGGCTGCAAACGAGACAAGCCAGTAAGGTTCGCAGAGCACAAGGTCAAGAACTCTGAAATTCCCTTTCTTCCTTCATTTTAAATCTTGTTTTTTTGAGAAGTTGGCGATACTGGATTTTTAAAAACATTTTCATTCTTGGCAAAAGAAAACTGGCAATCCTAGTTGGCCTCTACATTCTGGGCATGGCCAGGAACATCCAAATTCTTGTCCAGGCAGCCTTACACTTACTCTTCCTGTATTTTAATATACTTGCTTTGGGGAATTTGGGGAAATTTTATAAATACGTGAAAAAGTTTAGGATGCTTGAATAACAAAATAAACAGGTTGGAATATTCCGTATCTGAAATGCTTGGAACCAGAAACATTCCGTGTTTTACGGTTTCTGACTTCTGAGTATGTGCATATACACACAGACACGGGAACGCCACGCACGGAGGTCGCCTGCATTGCCGACGCCAGCCCATCAGGTAAATTCAGGGGTGCAGCCCCACTGTTGCTTCATGGAGCTCAGATTTGGGATTGTTGGACTCAGGAAGCACAAGCTGTCTCTTAGGAATCCAAAAGAGAGTGACAAGTGGCCGGTGGGGCACTGTTACAGGTCAGCTGATAGCACAGGACAATCGGTCACCAGGGCGGGCGCTGGCACCCAGGTAGGAAGTGAGGCAAAGGTTCAAACGCCTGCTTCGTGCTAGCCGTACTCTCAACAGAGCTCGCTCAGTGTCACTAGCGAGGAAGCCGCGGAGCAGGCAGAGACTGAAGGGGGGAACTTCCATGGGAGGAAGTGCTCACCTCTCGGAGTCTCGGTGTCCATCTGGGAGTGGGGTGACTCTCAGCAGGCAGCGAGGGCCCTGGCTGGCGCCCCGACCATGCTCAGCAGCAGCAGTGGTCAGTACGACTGATACGTACAGACAGCTAAATTACTACTCAAATCGCCAGCAACTGCGGCAGAGCCTAAATCAAGAGCCCAGCTTCTCATTCTCCCTGCAGTACTTCCCAGAAGGCACCGCTGTTAGAGAGGGGTACACACAGACCTACACCTCATACACACAGATGTACAGGTACAGAAGCACAGTTCTGGGCACTGAACCCAGGGCCTTCACACTGAGCTATATCCCCAGCCTTTTGATTTTCGTTTTGAGACAGGATCTCACTAAGTCGCCGGGATGGACTCACACTTACAATCCTCCCAATGCTCCTGCCTTAGCCTCTCAAAGCACCACAATTACAGGTGTGCGCCACCACACCCAGCTATAAATATACATTTTTTATGTTTTCTTTTTTAAGTATGCTCTTTTTCCATTCGGAATGCTGGGGGCACACCCAGGTCCTGCTGTGCGCTAGGCACTGAGCAACACCTCCACCCCGGAAGAATACCTTTAAAATAAAACAGCTTCCGTCTCAGCTCATGCTAGTGACTCTAGTGGGAGTCAAACAGGAAGAAGCCAGACCAAGAATTCAGCTGTGCCAGGCAAAATTGGTTTCTGCAGCTCCCACCCAGGAAGTAAGGGCATGGGCATGAGCCCATTTACATGCACCCGCAGACTCCTGGGCTGCAGTAGATAATTAAGTTACTTAGGACGCTTGCGTCACTACCAAGAAAAGTGGGCTGAGTATACTGCAAATTTCTAAAGCAAACTAACATTTTTTCCATCTCAAACTTTAAAAACCTGCTCCTGTACTTTTAAAAGAACCTGTCAAATCATGCTGGTTGTATCACACTAAGACACTCAATGAACTCCATGACTAAAAAACCCATTTGAAAGACATGTCCTTCTGGATAATTTCTATTACATAGGTCAGTAATCAAAATTGATCTTTGTAGTTTTTCATACCCTTGTGAATTCTGTATCTTTTAAACCAAATCAGCTTCTGATTTACAGAAACAAAGCCGCATTTTGTTGACTCATAATTTTACAGCAGCCCCTCCTCTCTGAGCCCTCAGGATGTCCACTACTTCCTGCTGCAGAGCTTTGGAGGGAGGCACTGGGCTTAGATCCTGGGAGACCCTCCTCGGCCAGCTCTGGCCTTTTCCAGCTGTGCCATCAGCAGCAGCAGAGGGGCTCTGACAGGGCACAACAACATGATGTCTCCCAGAGCTCACTGTGCAACCTGGAGGCCCAACTAGAAAAACCGGCCCCAGAAAGACCCAGGAGCGAGCTGCCCTCAACACCACAGCTCGGCAGGAGCTCCAGGCTCCAGATGGTCTCCACAACATTCCAGAGAGGAGGAGGCTCCCTCCCCTCTCCCCGGAAGGGAGGCCCTGGGCTTCCCAAACACCCGAGCACACGTCTCTAGCGCTGCCTTCCCTCCCTCCCTCCACTCCGGGACACAGCCTGGGCAGCCTGACACCAGGGGAGTGCAAGGGACAGGCGACTGGGGCGGGAGTGGACTGCTCAGTGTCTTCATGAGCCGGGTCAGGCCAGGGTTATCGCCTTTCTCAGAACTTCCCATAATTAGAAACATTTATGGAGCCAAACACAACAGGTGACGTAGGGAGGAAGCGAAAACGAGCAGGGCGAATTCGGCCACATTTAGCGCGGGGGGGGTGGACAGGAGCTGTGCGTGCAGCGTGTTTGTGTTCGCTGAGCGGGCAGAGGAGCAAGCCGCCGGTGGTCTCCCGGTTTCTCGCTCGTTCTGAAGCCCGCTGTGCAGTCTTGTGAGTGAGTTGTGTGTCTGGTCTTTACGCGGCAGGGGCCCGCGGGCAGTGTCCAGGCTCCGGACCACGACAGTCAAGGTCTCGGAGCGCCCCTTCCCGAGCGCCGAGCCACCCGCCTCTCCCGGACGCCGGGCCGGGCCTGCCCGCCCTCCCTCTCTCCCCGCCCCGGGCGCAGCCTGCGGTTCCCTTTCGGCCCGCAGCCCCGCGCAGTCAGGCCAGACGCCGGGGAAGACGAAGTGACCCTCCTTTCCCGGCTGCGTTTCGGAAACAGGCTCAGTCAGGCTGCTCCTGAACTTGACGCCGCGTCCCCGCGACTACCGTCGATCTACGTAGCCCCCGGGGCGCAGAGAGCGTCAGTACCTGCAAAACCGTCGAGGGAAAGAACGCCACGGAGTTCGAAAGCCGGAACAAACACCAAGTCGGCACGGAAGCCAGGGGCCGGACCCTCCGGCGGGGTTAGGACCCGGTGCCGCCTCGGCCCGGCAGCCCCGGCTCC